TTGTAATGATTTATGATGCTGTTATCATTTGGAATAATGTTTCAATAAGAGTTGAAGCAACCAAAGACTAATAGTAAAGGGCTAGACAATTTTTATTGAGATATACTTATGAGAAGCTAACACGTCTGTTCTTAATAATGATAACAGTTCAAACCACCTATCATAATGTCATTTGTGTCTACCTTTTCAGTCGTTTAATTAGAATCATTTAAACGATACAGTCGAATGATTAAGGTTCATAGAATCCAACCAGTTACCTTGATAGACTTAAAATGATAAACCATTAACAGCTAAAAGCTTCATACCTTCCTTAATGAAATTAATTTACATCTAACAGAGAGTCTATGATTTCAAACAGACTATTTTCTGCCTCTTAAATGTTCATTTGCAAACAAAGCAAAAAATATCTAATTGTTGAGATCTTGTTTCGAAGATGTTGATCCACTGACTGTTGTGTAAGGAATATTTATTTAGCTAACGATACAAACCTTGTAATTGTGGTATTATCAGATTACATTTTACTATCCATCTAGAAACATTTTAATTATCAGTCAGTCATCATGTTCAAAACCACTAGATCATTTTATCAGAATAAAAATTTGAGCTTAAAAAGTAAGGTATTAGGATGGTTACCCAACAGATGGCAGTGGATGGAGGTCGTGGTATATCGCAATCTTCAGAAGTAAGGAAAAATGGACCACTGAGTTCTCGCCCAGTGGCTCAATGTTGATGGCAGAACATGGAGGTCCTGGGTACGAAGTCTGACGTGACCATTGGGGCGCACTATTGAGAAGTCCCGTACAAGAACGAAACAGCTGTTCAGTTCTCTTCGGTTTTCAATCGTTCTCGAACTGATGTCAGTTTGTGATGAATACCACTATGGAAAATTTGACCATCAAATATATCAAGGGAAGTGTTTCTGAATAATTAAAGAGATACATATGGCGGAAAATAGTAATTTACCGCTGCATTTTTTAAATGATTCTCTCTGTCATAAATAACAGTTACCTTCAGTGACTGTAACTTCACAAAAAGGCAGAGAGATGAAACTTTATCCACCCTAATTCATAATATTGGTTTACTTTATACGTAGTTTTTATTCGCAGTTGAAGAAAAATTCTTAGTAATAGAATTGCGAACTGGACTGCATCAAATTCAAACCACTTTACTAGGTTTCATTTTCAAATTCTTACTTTAACTATTCTTTCCACTATTCTGAATGATATAATCAGACTATTTCAGAGATCTTTGAAAATATTTTTGTCCGATTTTTGTGACATTATGCAATGTCACGGTGTAGATGTTGTATTTTGTTTACCTTAGAGCCTGACATGTTTAGTTACACTATGTAAGAAAATAAACGGAAAAAACTGTGTCAGCCATTCCTCCGTTTCAGATATAGTTATTGTATCGTAGGCTTTTCACCAATATTCCTTACTAGTTGATAAATCAGGCTAAATAAGCTTTTGGATATGATAAGCAGTGTGATGTTGCATTTGGTCTTAAAGAGCCTCACGAGCATATGGAATTAAAGCTTGGAAAATAAGTTCAGATGTACTAGGAGTTATCAGATATCATTTTTAAAAGGGAAGATTGTTGGAATGGGATCTAAAGTCTGTAAGTGGGTTATGCTCTAACTAAAATTCCTAATTCTTAGAGTTAGCCAGACTGTTATTTCGAAAAGCAGAATAAATGAGCAACTTTTATCTTGGTGTATTACGTTCATCATGAAGTGGTTTACACAGAAAATGCTCAAGAAAACCTTCAAAGCCTCAAAACCACAATCATGGAAAGCTCATTCAATATCGTTTATCTCAATTAAATTAGAAGCTTTTATCTTAAGCAGATAAAACTAATGCTTGAAAATGAAACCCGTCTGACTGTGTTTTTTCCATACAAACATCCCCAAACATTTAACAACCTTCGTTGAGACTCATTTCAAGTCAAAGATGAGAACAATGAGGAAACCTAAATATATCACTTGTCTTGGTTAAAAAAGTAAAATCCACCACCGTTCTACATTTCATGTAACATTTCACAGCTGATCTAAGAAAATTCCTGATATTCAGCTAAAACTGATAGCCAAAACTGAAAGTGGACAATGAATAATCGGTCTTATCATTATAGTTTCCATTTCAAAAGACACACTAAAAAATCTAAAGACAAGTTAAATACCCCTTTAATACCTATGGAACCTAAATTTCCTCGAATCCCAATGGGACCCTGTTAACTAAGATATGCATGCTCCATGATTCTGCAAATGAAGAGGGTTAACAAGGTAGACTTCAAAACAAGTCAATAGAGGCGTACAAATCAAAAGTCTTTTGGCAGTTGGAGGTCATTCTCGTGTCAGCATCATGTAAACATACAGCGATAAGCAACATGCAACCTCGTATGAATGGCTATCAGTTCAAGTCGTTAAACTTACAATTACTCAGCAAGAGGAAACATAAAGGAAAGTGGTTGATTTTGATAGCCGTGACGAGCTATTAGAAAAGTTAGTAAGTAGATTTACCAGATAAAGAAGTCTTTGTCTACTGGTTAGCTGTGTTTGTTGAAATTTATATTTGCCTATGCTGATCTTCGCCTTGTTTTAATTCCATCTTGTTACCCAGATATCACGACCTTTCCTGATTGTGTGGTATCTATTTTAATAAGTCAGTTATAACTCTTATTCCTGTAGGCTATGACAAGATATATGAATCCGAGAGATGAAACTTAGTTTCCAGCCATCATAACTCAGGAAATACACTTTCTTGTCTAGAGAACATTTCCTCCATTTGTTGAGGTAACGAAGAGCTGCTAAGTAATTAATCGACTTTTAATTAACTGACTGTTAGAGTCGGTGCCTTATCGAGCTGTAAATATCAGTTTATGACACGAACGGGATGAAGTGTGAACTCATAAAGATTAGGAGATTGTTTAAGCATCAGCTGAACATTTCCGATAAGCTAACTAGCACCACATATGGTTGATGTCCCACCGGGTCATCAAATGCCTTCAGCCATCAACATGCATCACATCAACAACCCTGACCTAGAATTCAATACCTTACACAGCTAAGATCAGGATTCAAGAAGAGCATGAACCGGATGATCAGTTTTTGAATTATTTACAAACTCACTAGCCTGGATATACACTTCTCAAAGTTGAGAAGTCGTTTCTTAACTACTCAACCAATTTGTCAACTGGGTTTATTTTGGAAGTCATACAGATAACAAAGACTGACCTGTGACAAGAAATTGTTACTGATTAAAAATATATGGTGAAATAATAAATATTTGGGCTGTATAAGCTGATTTCATCGCGGTGCATCACTGATGAGATCAACCTGAAAAGAGAGAAACCACCATGGAGTGTTCAGATGAACTTAATGAAATCTGTAAGTCATATGGTTCATTACTAGAATTCATGAAGCGATTCAATGTCCTAATTTAATAATTCATAGCTTTATTTGACTTGAATCACCCACTATTAACACAATACATAATGGCAAACAGCTGTCCGGCATGCTTAAGATTTTTCCGAAGCACTTCACGCGGCATAAGCTCATACACTGACTTGCCAACCTCATATAATGCTTTTTGACAAAAACTTTCGTCTTCTTCAGTAAATTATCCTATTTGATGCGACCCATGTCAAAAAACAATAGGATCAAATATATGTTAGCTTAGAAAATCTCTAACAATTAGTCACTTTAGTGCAAAAAAGTTATGGGGAAAAATTTTAATTTTAGAAGTAAGAAGTACACGCCAAAACATTCTGTAACTGTTGTTTAGAAAAACTCATTCTGCGAAGACTATTTGTTTCACAGAATTATGTCATTGTCGTCCTAAAAATACGTTGGAAAATGTGCTAGGAGGGAAGAGCGTGAGGTTTCAATTCTAAGTTTCAGGGTTATACTTAGAAGGTCATTCTAACCAATATTTAATTAACTTCTAAAACAACTTATGACGTACATATACAGTACTACGATAGTTTAATATGGTAGGCTGTTCGTTTCTTCAACATACAAGATGCCTTATGCTGAAGAAAATTTATGATGCTTGAAACAATCATTAATTTAAGATATGTACCAATGAATTTCGTGAAACAGCGAACTATTCGGTATCTTCCGAAGAGACTGATTTACATTTACGTTATATTCAGGCTTTTAGATTTAACATGTTCATTAAACTAAAATGCTGATAATATCACCCTTTGAAGTTTTCTCCGATTAATGGATCTTGTTAGACCTATTAAGCAGTGATTAAGTAATAAAGCTGAGTAATTCTTCTGAAAAATAGTCATCATTTATACATGCATTGTGAATTAATTATCCTAGCAACAATTATTAGAAAACTGTTTTCACTACACTGTTTCTGACAATTCTGTTCCAAGTATTGATATGTTGATCTCAAGAAAAAAGATTTTCTTGACGCGCTAATATTCAATGAATAAAAAAGTGGATAGCGAGGAATACTGTAAAGCTATTTATAGCTGATTTGAGATAGAAATCATTGGTTAACTAAATTCAAGCTAACGAATTGGGGAATAGTATGTTCTACCTTAAGTCACATACGTTTCACTTCTATACAAATAAGTTTCATGGTTATATTGCTGGTCGATATTAAAATGAAATAAGAAAAACTCAAATATTTCAGTTTTTTGCATGATTGTTTCATTGAAACTGATAAAAGTTTTTAACTCTCTAGTCTATTTAAAAACTGGTCATTTATTTTAATATCATAAATGATGTGGAAGTGAGTTGCAGAACCACAATGCAACATTTTATTCAACACATATTATAAACTAACAAACAGTTTGCATATTATACAATAGAAATATTTGTAAAATTTTAAGCTCAAAATTCACTACTGAGGCAGGTTTTGTAGAAATATTGAAAGTGGTAAAGACGATAGAAGAAAACACGGAAGATGAATTCAGAAGTATAATGTATATTTTCAAAAAAATTTTTTGTACTGTACATCAATGTAAATAATGGTCAGACGATAATGTAATTACCACGGTCTCCACAGACTGTTACCATTTGTGATAGATATTTTTTCTGAAAATATATTCTGAGAAATTTCATTTGCAAGCAGATTAGCGCTGTTATTTGACACAACAGATAAACTCATTGGATTTTGTCGCTGTTCATAATGATGATGGAACATTTTCTGTTGGGAGCTGTTATTTGGTAGTGGATTTAAAGAATTCGGCAAGTTATCTGTTGAAATCCGATTTGTCATGGAAACATCAAATGAGCATTGGCTGGAACTAAACTTTGTACCAAACATTTGTGATATTAAGGACTGCCTGGTATGTGCCACTTCTTCAGTTATAACAGAAAGACTACATGACAACGATGGTATGATTGATAAAGAAGATTTATTATTTTTCTGCTGAGTTTGTAAACACTTTTGAATAATATGCTTGAAAGTTGTCTCACATGCTAAGTAACCACATAGAAACATCCTCAATTTCTCATTTTGATGAGTCTGGACAGATGAGTGATGACAATTTCTTGACTGAAGATCTGAAACAGTGTAAAACGTGACTTAATTTCACAGGATTTTAAATTTTCAAAATGTATGCTGATTTCATTTAGCTAATAAAGTGATTAGAACTTATGATTACATTTTCCCTAGGATGAAATAATTATAAATGATAACACTGAGTGTTACTATATTACTTACACAGTCAATAGAACAAATACAAAACTTTTACGGCTTTACTTTTGCTAACACGTGAGACTGCATAGTAACTTCCTTGGTCAATTTTGTTCTGTGTTATGCTTCTTCTAGGTTAAAACTGTTATCATCATTATTTTTCCCTTGGGTTCCTAGTAGAACATAGGGCTTCAGTACCACGCCTCAATTGCACTGTGTTCTCTGTAGTCTTTTGGACCTCACTCTAGGACTGCCTACAAGCTTTTATTTCTTCCTCACATAATCTCCTTCAGGCCACCCTCACCTCGAAAGCCAAACTCGTCGTTTCCCCTTTGGATTTCATTCGACGGCTTGGCCTGTTGCGTGATGTCACCAGTCGATCTTCTCACTGTATGCCTAATCCATCTCCATTTTCTCCTACATATTCATTGGGTGATAGGTTCTTGGTTGGTTCGTTCCCAGAGTTCTTATTCTTGCTGGCCATCTAATCTTCAGTGTGAGTATCAAATGAGCGTAGGTAGCAGCTGTTGATGAATGTCTGTAGTTTGTTGGAAATGCTTTTCGTGACGCGCCAAGTTTCTGAACAATATAGAAGCACTGAATTGACATTGATGTTGAAATTCTGGATCTTGTTCTTTGTGCTGAGTGCTGTAGATCTCAGAACTGATTATTTCAGATTAGTGCAGGAAGGTCTGTCTTTCGGTCTTTTCGATCCTGGTTTTGATATCCTCGTCTATGCCGGCGCCTGTAGTTGAAACGATGCTGCCTGCCTAGGTTGGTGAAAGAGACTATTTCCTTTAGCTTTCTCCCGTTAATGGTGATTGGTGCTTGTTGTTCATGCTGTTGTTGGTTGGGTATCTTCATCACCTCCGTCTTCTTTACATTCACTTGAAGTCCCGTTTTCGCTGCCCCTTCTGTCGACTTGTTAGTTTTTGCCTGTAGGTCTTCGAGTTTGTGCGACAAGGTATTGGACACAAATCACCGTCGGCGGTGAAGTCCAAATCTTCTTCTGGGGTCTTTTCACCGGTCCAGGGAGGTTGAAATTAAGTGACCAATAACTAATGAGGTTTAAAGTCCTGTCGATAAATATTCTACTAACATTATAAAGCCCTTAAATGTATAAAAAAAGCCGTTAGTCCTGGTACTCTTATTCATAAACACTTGATGAAAAGAGATGATTTTAGTTCACTTACTACATGCTTCTGTTCCATATAGGTACAGTCAATTAATTCGTGTGTATAAATTTGATAGTTTGCAGAATGTTTCTTATTCTCATTTGTTGGTTTCCAGGAACTTCGCTTTCATCGCATGCTCCTTAGAAAGTCTAAAACATGTATCTAATTTTTAAAAATACTTTCTCCTTCATTGTTACCCAATCTTTAATTATGGCTTAAGGAATTCACACATGAGTTCAGTTTAACTTTTGATAAACTATCAGGAACGCATTATAATTTGTTTCTTTTAGCATCATCGATATAAATGTAATATAAATGTCATTTAGTTAGCTTAGAACATAACTGGTCAAAGTTGGTGATCGAAGGCATTATTTCATCAATTCACATAGCAAATAAAATAGACATTATTTGCTTAGCGTTCCCAGAAAGTTTTAATTTATTAACCACTGAACAATGTTAAGTCAATTTAGTGAGTGAACGATTAAATGCGAATGAACATTAAACGTAGCAGTTCTCAGGAGAATATGGAAAATACTTACGATCTGATGATTTCTTTATAAATTTCACAGTCATATCCAAAATATCAGCCTTCTCCAGTTTATTAGACTGTCAAAGTTAGAAAAAGTAAGAAACATTACGGTGTGACTGCCGAGTAAATGCTGCTTATTGAAAAAAGTCTGGTAATAAAATTTCCTCCTTCAACTCATATTTCAGTCAAACTTTAGAAGATGAATTTAGCCACTTACCTAGAAGATACTGGTTTGGATCCTGCCGTGACCTAAATTATCATTTCATCTTCATTCTGCACCCGGAATAGGAAAATTTGTGAAAAGAACTCCAAAACTCAATAGGACAATCACAATCCAGTAAGTACGTTATCCAGACATCAGGGAAGAAACAGAACTTAACCCTAATTATCCTGGAATTTTTTTCTTCATACATGGTCACAGGTTTGAAAGAATCTCAGTCTATTTTTGATTGATGATAACAAAACTTAGCTAATCAATAAGATACTTCAGTCAATCTTACTATTGTCAGTAAAAAATTGATTTTGTCAAAATCACTTCCTGAATGCATAGCCCTTGCTTTTGAGGTTCCTTATTCAATGAGTTGTCTGAGCACCAAGTTTCAACACTGGTCTGCCAAACCAGTGTAAGTACGATCAAGCGACAGTAATGTATCGTGAATTCATATGGCAGTCGGGTAAAACCTTGGAGAATGAAAAGAAATAAAAACCTGGCCAATAGTCGACTCTCGTAGCTTGGTTGGTAAAGCTTCGGACCAGAAATCAGGTGGTACAAAGCTAGGAAACCATTAATATTGATGCTAGATGATGATTGAAGGTGAAATAAAAATCTCCCTCTTCCATATCAGACTGTCTAGTTCATGGAATAGGTAGTCTGGATAACCGGCTCTTAAGGTTCCGTTGTTCAAGATTACTAATAATTTTGTAATTGGTGAACTTTTTGTGAATACTGCTGTATTCAATGTACGTGATCAAAAAGAACTTTAATGTGACTTTATTCCCTGCTGAGATGCACCCATAAGTCAAACCAGATGAATCGAAACTAAAGTTTGATCTCAAATTAGACGCTTCATTGATCACTGTAACGGTCAAAGATACTGGTAATCGACCGTTAAAGCATGAGTATGAAAATGTTGGAGACTGTTTTGTTGGGCATCCAATCAATAGCTATCTTCGAACAAGCTTATTATACGCCTGTTGCGGTCCCGTTCAGAATCACGTTTCCTCTTATAGTTGATGTGAAAAGTGTTCTGCACATTTTGAAGATCTTACTCCATCAATTTGATCACCTATCATACCCTTACACTTGACTATATCAGTAATACCATGCTTTTCCCTATGTTTTTATTATAGGTAAAATAATAGATTTAACCTTAACTTTTACAACTTGTGGCAACTATGGCCTTTTTAGTTTTACAAGCAGTCGAAAGCATACCTTAAACAAACAGTAAGACTGGATTTCCAAGTTGTTTGAGTGCTTTGACAGTGTCGATAAGCAACGTTCAGTCGGTAATTCAGTCGATAATTCATTTCATGAAATAAGGTTTGAACCTTCATCGAATTTGAAGTTCTTAAGTTTACTCAAAAGAGAAAAGCTTATTCAGTCAGTAATGAATATACTAAATTGGGGATAAAAGGAAGGTATCTACTTAGCGCAACCCGTCAATAGTTAAGTAATGTATGTCACGCATAACAGCTTGAGTTACTATAAAAAATGGAGTCGAAGTACACTCTACAATCGACAATAAAACATAGGTACGCAAACCTAACACAGTTTACTCAAAGAATAACCCATAATAATGTTTTATTAATGAAAGAGGGGCATTTGTAGTGGCTTACATGCTTGATTCCAGGTTCTATTACCAATTTTTTCAGCTCTTCAATTGCAAGATTTATTCGTTGACGTCTACGCTTCTCCACCAGTGGTTTGTTACGCTAATTGTCAGAATGATAAGAGAATCCAGTAAGTAAAACGATAAACAGGCAGACGATAAATTCTTGATTAAGAACACCTTGGTTAGTGTAGCTGGGCTACTTAACAAATAACAGCATACTGAGACGTTTCAAGTATTTGATAAATAAACAACAAAAGAGAATAGCAATTCATGTTCTACGAAATACAAATAAACTACTGTGTAGCATATCCTTCACATTTAGTCTTCAGTTTGCTTCATCTAGCTAATGGCAAACAGAAATGTTTACGTCAACTGATATTGGATGCACAAAATGTCATATAAATAAAACATAAGTCATTCATATGCCTAAATCATCGCCCAAAGTAAGTGGCGATCAGTAAGAGAGTATTCTTGAAAAGCGTTAAACCCAAAAACCTATTTCATATCTGTATAACTTTTAGTTTATCGCAATATCCATGGTTATTCAACAGTACTTCAAGCTTCAATATTGTAAGTTATCAAACGATGAAAATTCCACTTACAAAAGTTCAGTATAAAGAACCATTAACAAGCGCTACAAAAGATTCATAGAAAAACTGAACACTCTGCCATCTATTGAATCTTAGTGTTGTGACACCAGAACGCACACAGAAACTAAGCCTGCAATATAGCAGGTTAAATACCAGATACAAGTTCTATTCTCTAGGAGTTTTAAACCCTGGAATGCTCCTCCTGCAGAAGTTATCAAGGGTACTTCATCTGAACCCTTCCAACGATAGCTTGATATTTACTTGAGATGTGGGTGGGATCTACTCAGAACTGACTGAATCTTCACACTTTAATCACCACTCTTGGTTATTTCTTTACTTCTACACAGGTTAACAGCCACAAGAAGTAGCGATTCACAGATTCTTGGCTCGGAAGCCAGTTAAGCGAAAGCTTCTTCTATTTCGTCAACAGCTATTTGAATAATATGAACCTTTTAGGTTTCGTGTACATATAAGTTGTAAATTCGAAGAACACTGTTCAGATAACTAAGTGATTGTGAATTAGGTATAACCGGATATTCTAGGTATGATTGGATTACAGGATGAGAAAAATGACAGATGGTGGTTTGGCTACTACCATCTACAGGAAACCGACACATTCTAACAGGTATTTAGACTTCAGGTCACCTCATCCAATGTCAGTTAAGGCAGATTTAGTCAAATATCTAAATGATAGAGCTAGGAAACTTACTAGTCAATGCAAATACCTAAATAAGGAACTGAAACACATAAAAGAAGCACTTATTATTAATAACTATCCTCCACAATTTACTCAAAAATTCATACGAACACATAAGAAACGAAATAATAACAATAATACGAATACAAATAGTGGCGACAACATGAACAGAAAGAAGTTCACAGCCTGTATAATGTTACCCAATAAGGAAGGAACAAGAAAGCTTACTTAGGGTCCTCAACAAAGCTGGGATTAGGGTGACATTTAAACCTACTGGCTGACTCAGAAATAGGCTTTATCTGCTTAAGGATCCGATAGATCCAATTAAACAAAAAAACCCGGATATTTACTGACAATTGTTTCATTCGTGTATGACAAATCATTCTTCGTTATACAGTAAACTAAATTACTCACTTAAGCTGTCGACACAAATTAAGCATGTATGCTATAAACATGTGTTGGCTCAAAGAGTTGATTAAGTCGCCTGCAATTTTTACTTGTTTATACGTATGGATGATGCAGCTAGCGCAGTTTGAAAGACCTTGATGTATATGTACATCAGACGCAGCCTACTTGACACAAGGTCAAGAAGAGGAGCAGATGTAGGTTCAGACCACTCACTATCTAGTGCAAAGAACCTTCCAAACCAAGTTGAAAGCTTTCAAAGAAGTTGGTGATAGACCTCAGTTCAAGTACAACACTCGGAAACTGAAGGATGAAACTATAAAGGAAATCTTCACGGCAGCCATCAAGACAAAATGAGAGACAGCGAGCAACATCCCTGAAGAAACCTGTGTGGAAGAACACTGGAAGTCTTTGAAAGCTATGTGGAAAGGAACCTGCACAGCCGAATGAGGAAGGTAGAAGAAAGAAGATAAGGAATGGATCTCGGCGGATACATGGAAGCTGACAGAGGAGGGAGAGGAGGATGGTGAAGCAGAAGATAAACCAGTGCAAGGATGTACAACGAGATGAGGATCTGAGTACAATGTATAAAACACTGGACAAAGAAATGAAGAAGAGTGCACGGAAAGACAAAAGACACTTCTACGACACACTGGCAAGTGTAGCAGAACAGGCTGAAGGTAGAAGAGACACAGACCTGACAACATTGTATCGAATAACCAGGTTATTATCTGGGAAGAGATCAACACACTTGAAACCAATAAAAGATGATGAAGGAAATTTAATTACAAAAGAAGAGAAACAAAGGAAACGATGGGCTGACCACTTCAAGAAGCTCTTGAATCGACCACCACCATCACCTGCACTTCGTCCAGAAATACCACCTGCAGCCGGCTACTGAACTACAAGTGAACATGAATCCTCCAACGAAAATGGAAGTCCTGAACGCCATAAAGCAACTGAAATGTGGGAAGGCAGCAGGACCAGATGAAACCCCTCCAGAAGCACTGACAACAGCGGACATGCTCACACCACTATTGCAGAAGGTGTGGAAGGAAGGGAAGGTACCTGGCTAGTGACTGGAAGAAGGGTTACCTTGTCAAACTGCCGAAGAAGGGAGACCTCAGTGTTTGCAAGAACTGGCGCGGAATCACTCTCCTGTCCACCCACACCAAGCAAAATCTTAAGCCGCATCATCTTGGAGAGACTAAAGGATGCACTGGATTCAAAACTACGACCGGAACAGGCAGGCTTCAGGAAGTACAAATCATGTGCAGACCAAATTGCAACGCTTCGCTTCATCACAGAACAAAGTATAGAACGGCAGTCAACTCTCTACCTCAACTTCATCGACTTTGAGAAGGCCTTTGACAGCGTCGACCGAGAGGTAATTTAGAAACTGCTTCAATACTACAGAATACCGCAAACTTTTATCAGCCTCATCCAACAACTATATGAAGATGCCACATGCCAGCCAAGTAATTCACAATGGGAAGCTCAGTGATGCTTTTGAAGTGAGGATAGGAAGGAGTAAAACAAGGCTATCTACTATCACCCATGATATTCTTGATTGTAGTTGACTGGATCATGCAACACACAGTGAGGAGCGAGAAGAGGGGGATACACTGGCTGGACTGCGGAAAAGGACCTAGAAGATCTGGATTTCGCCGATGACTTGTGCCTGATGTCACACAAACTTGAAGATCTACAGGCGAAAAGTCACAAGTTGGTAGAAGAGGTGAGGCAGCGAAGACGGTACTTCAAGTGAATATAGAGAAGATAGAGGTGATGAAGATACCCAACCAACAACACCACCAGCAACAACAACAACAAACTCCAATCACCATCAACGGGAGAAACTCAAAGGAAGTAACCTCCTTCACCTATCTAGGAAGCACTGTTTCAACTACAGGCGGCGCTGGTACAGACGAGGATGTCAAAGTCAGCCAGGATCGGGAAAGCAAGACAGGCGTTCAATAAGCTGAAACCAGTGTGGAGATCTTCTGCACTCAGCATGCGGAACAAGATACGGATTTTCAACACTAATGCCAGTCAAGTCAGTGCTTGTGTATGGTTCAGAGACTTGGCGCGTCACGGAAGGGATTTCCAGTAAACAACAGACATTCATCAACAACTGCCTATGCTGCCTCGCTACTGAAGATCAGATGGATTGCCAGAAAGAATAAGCAACAAGGAGCTCTGGGAACGAACCAAGCAAGAACCTATCACTCAAGAAATATGCAGAAGGAAGTGGAGATGGATTAAATTGGGCATACACTGAGAAGGCCGACTGGAGATATCACGCATCAGGCTAGGTTGTCGAGTGGAACCCCGATGGGAAGCGACGAGTTGGGCTTCCGAGGTGAGGGTGACATGGAGGAGATGGTGCGAGAAGGAAATGAGAGCTTGTGGGCTGTCGTGGAGTCAGGTTCAAAAGATTTCGGAGAACAGAGCGCATTGGAGACGTGCTACTGAAGCCCTACGTTTCATTAGGAACCCAAGGGACAAATAATAAATATAACTTACGATCACACGAAAAGTGTCAAAATATAGTGAATATGCATCTATATTTTTCTCGTAAGTCTCTTAAGAAATTGATTGTGTATCCATGTACAATTTTGTTAAATCATCCGTTCCACACAAACATGAATAGACTCTTTGAAGAAAATTATCTTTAATGTAGGTAGAAACTGCAATTTATAAGTCAAAACAGTAAATTCGTAAGATCAAAACCTCGAAATACCTTAAAGGCAGCTGCCAATGTCGTTTTGTACCCCCAAATGACTATAGATAAGTAGAAATTGGAATGTATTTTCCACTATGAACCAATATTATTTACGCAAACTGGAGTTCTGAACGACTATTTCGTTGTCTAGAGCCCATCACTTTTTTCTATCGACTTCTCTGTTTAATATTGAATCTAAAACGGTCAAGTTAGACGGCAAATAATCTGGCATATGAATTACTGCACTTTATCTGGATGGTAAATGAATCTATCCTCAGTCACACAGTTACGACAGAATAGTGTTTATTACAATAGACTGATTAGTTACACTTATAATAATTATTTACTCTTTCATAAATAGTGACAAAAAAATTATGGTAATTGGTAATATTGTAAGGTAACTCTTTACAATAGTAGTGGTCATTAACTTACTTTTTTCCAGCTAGGCTGAAGTATATGCGGATGAGAATCTGACAGAGAGTTAGTAGAAATGTCCATTTCATTTGAAATAATGTAACTTTGTGAATCTTGATGATTGTAAGGCGTTAAAGCATACATTTTCACTAAAATGCTAATTTTCATGTGAATACTTTTCAAATGAAAATGACTAATTATACCGAATTTATCAAAAGTGATGGGATGAGGGATGGATAAAGTAGTCAATGATTGGTCCTCTTAATGTACAGTATAAACTTGATCTATTTCTTTCCTACACCTCCACTTTCAAGAAATGTATGAAATGCTTGAACCACTGTGCACACATAGATCTGCACATTAATATGCACGCACGTGATTGTATTAATCATGTAAATTTTCCTAGAAATATGGTTGATAATATGATTTGTCACAATACTGAATTCACTTATGACATTAGTGATTGCTTGGGTGACCTGTAGAATTAGTCAAATCAGGAATGAGGGCGGATGATAACCAACGACATTTGATGATGCTTGTGTTACAATACGAATAGAAAGCAGTAGGAAACACCAGATCCTTGGATCTCAATGATCTTGGTCTCAGTAGCTTGTTGACTCTACGATGCACACCACCGTGGGACATCAAACGGAAGCAAAACACCTGTCTATTGCCCTTAAGTTCTCAATGCTTCTCTAACTGATATCATTCCGTTATGAAAACTACTTTAAGGTAGTTTATTTGTTCTACGTTTGACCATAAAACTAGTGAATACACCATATTACATTTTGGTGCTCATCATAGATCGATATAAGTTAGACAAACATTGGAAACCCAGTAGTACTGGACAGATGTTTCTTCCTAGTAAGGATCTCTTTAACAGTGCGCTCCCACGACCCAGCCTGAGATCGAACTCAGGACCTTCAAGTTTCACATCCACCACGTCACCACCGAACCACTGATTCGGAATTCAACAGTCTATATTTCATGCTTCTATCAATTCACAATGCTTCTCCAACTGATGTCAGTCCATGATGAATATCAGCCTGAAATCGGTAAATAAATTCCAGCAAACCTCCAAATTGAACACTATATAACACTCCCGATAACACACAAAAATCATAGGAGGGAAAATTTGCAATCAGTATTTTTGGTGATCATGCATTTCATGAGACTGAATCGTCTTTTACTGACTTTCTTACTTTTTAGTGAATTCTCCGACATAAATGCCGGATAGTTACGACAACTTGAACTACATGTTTTCAGAAGTGTAATCAATTTGACAAGGTTTGTTTGACTGACTACTGAAAATAACATGACCCCGCAAAACTTTCAGCTGAACTTTAGTAAAACATGTCATCACTTTCCTCTGGAAATACGCCAGAACACACTCAATTTTAACTACATTTAGAAACAATAATTCTTGAATCCTTAATAAATCTATAAAAGTGACACATTTACCGTTTAAATGAAATGTTCCATGTCTAATTCATGGATTCACTTTGATGAAAATCAGTGAACTTTTTATTTTACCCCGGTTTTTAGTGGCTTAACGACTGCTGTTATGTCATGAGCAAGACGTTTTATAGACAGAATGGACAAGCATTTCTGGATTAACAGATACCCTACTCAGAAATCAGTCATTTTTTTTGTTACTGTGTACAAATTCTTATTCTGAAAACTCCGAATTGCTATACGAAACTGAGAGCATAAACTGTTGTACATGTTTATGTATTTTAACAAATGCGAATTATTAAGGGAACTGGAATGTTTTGGATAATGTTGGTGTGCGTTTGATAAACACAAAGTTAAATACCACTTTTTCCTCACCTAAATGCCATAGCAAGGTGTTATACTGTAAATTACAAACTTGTCCGGACGAAGTGTTGGCAGCTCGAATCATTCGCATTGGTCTCAGTAAGTGTGTACTGAATCCGTAAACCTATTTAGTCCTATGTGTCGTTACTACTTATTTGCACAGAAGAAGTAACACGATATTCGAACAGCATAACATAAAGACTTTGGGAAAAATAGACTACTGCAAAGTTAGCTGTTCTTAAAAAACACTACTCCATTCAAGGACTCTCATGAAACATAAAGGCTGGTAAACTCAGATGATATTATACAGATAGCAAAAAAAGCATTTTGCGCACTCTACTATGACTTGAATTATCGGAAGATCCACGTAAAACAGCCGAGATCAAAAACGCATGTTAGCTGAAGCAGTCTTTTAGAATGACTACTTCATTTAATATGATTGGTCGATACAATATTAAAGTAGTTTAACTGAAGAAATGTTTCCAGCATTTTATCTTTCTAAACCATAAAAACATCAAGAAGACATCTTATTAATTCCATCGCTATGCAAGCCACATTAGGCATACTTACAAACCTGTGGATTTGATTTTTATCCAAACATACTACTTAAACTGCTTTCATGAGAGTGAAAAGTTAGTGATTTTATTCGCACTGGAATGATAGCACTTTTACATTAGTTCGATGCATAACTTCTCATCTCAAGTGCTTATTAGTTATAATTTGCTAATCTGATTTGCTTTCTTTCTAAACAATGCCAATTGCTTGATTCCAAGTTGGTATTCATCACGGACTGACTCCATTTCGAGAAACATTGGAAACCTGGGAAGGCTGATCAGCTGTTTCGTTCTAGTATGGGATGTCTCAGCAGTGCTGAGCCATGACCTCGCCCCCCTGGGGATCGAACGCAGGACCATCAGGTACCGTGACCAGTACGTCACCACGTATTCGCTGGGTGGGAACCCAGTGACCCATATTTCCTATATCCATCGGTTCATGATATAGTATGCTCTTCATTCTAATCCAGTGTCCCAAAGGCAACAAGCTGACCACGAAACCTGAAGGTTCGGGGTTCGATCTCTGTTGGAGTTGGGTCACGGGCGTGCACTGCAGAGGAGTCTCACCCTAGAAAGAAACAACTGTCCAGTACTCCTAGGTTTCCAATGTTTCTCGAACTGATGTCAGTCCATAGTGAATACCAACATGAAATCAATTAACAAATTCTCACAATTTCCCAATGCCTACTGTCATTCACTGGTTTATAGTTTATACAACCGAGATGAAGTACATACTTCTAGTTTTTCCGAAAGTGAAACGTTGACGGATTGGCTTTTGGATAATCAATGTGCGTCAGTTGGAAGGAGGCAGTTGAAAAGAAACTCAGTCTTTCGTGCTTGTTGGCAATCGACAGCAAGCAGTATCTGCGTCAACCATCGATCGGAGTACATTGTGATGCTGTACCTTCTAGATTGGCAACCGGATTACAAAATGATCGGTAGAACTCAATAAGCACTTGGGAATAGGCAACATGTGACAAGTTTCTCTCCGGCGACCAGTCAGTGAATCAGCTTATGTGTTAAGCTTCTAAAGTGTTAAAGCAAAAAGATGGAAAAATGCGATATTTTTGTCTGGAATGCAGAATGTGGTGCAGTTTAAAAAAACTGAGGTGTTTGAGTAATGTGGCTTATACATTTAGTATCCATTGCCGAAATAAAACTCAGATAGTTACTGCTCCTCTGTACAAAAGTTGTTCTGTTACAATTTAATAACCAACTATAAGAGCAAATTGATGGAGTGACCAAGGGTACACTACTAGGACCTATCCTAGCTGATATATTTATGTCTCATTTTGAAAGAACAAGTCTGAACTTTGTGATCAAACAAATGACATATTACCACAGGTATATGGATGATACTTTCATTGTTTGTGCTAATAGTTTTTCGTCCATTCAAGTTGTTCCATACCTTCAGATGAGCTCATCCAAATATTACTTTTACAATGGCATACGAAAATGATGACAGATTCAATTTTTTGTGCCTGCGTATAAGACGGATGTGTGATGGTAAAGTTAAGAAAACCGTCCACGGAATTTCACTTATATCAGTCAGTACCCTTATTATAAAAGTTTCTATCCTGAAACTCTTCACTAAAATAAGAACGCTATGCTCAGAAGACAAACGAGAAGTATTCGGTATCACTGATGAGGCTCTTATCAAGAATAGATATCTGAAAAAATTCATCATGAAGCATGGAAAATAATTTATTGAGGAACCTAAACATCCCACGACTAGGAAGAAGCTTGTTTTCCTTCGTCTAACATTCAAGGGTGATGAGGTGTCTGAAAAATACACACAAGAATAAAAACTGTACTGAAAGAGGTTTCCTTTCTTCCAAACTGATCTACGTTTAAAATATAGTTTACTCAATGACACTGTCGAAGTAGTCAAATACCCAGCTTGCGTCAACTCCATCTGTCTATATCAACTCACCTGTACTTGTCGAACAAAATACGTCGGAAGAACCAAAGAAAAAGCATCTACTCGATTTTATGAACATATTCCGAGGAATGGTAGCAAGGTCTTTACCAGCACAATCACCAGGCACCTGATGGAAATAAGACGTTAAATAAGTGTTTCTCAGTCCTTCAGTATAGTCGAAAAACAAAGAATGCCATATTTATCGTGGTTTGCGGAAGCACCCACTATGAAACAATTTCAACCTGACCTGTAATTAGACTTTCTCTACTTTAGTAACTGTGTCTCTTACTTTCTGAATATGTGTGTTTATAGTCTTTTTTATTGCTTCATCTCTTTATTAATTACCTACTGACTGTTAATCACCCAACCTAACGTTTTTCCTGTTTTTCCATGTAACTACGTAACCAACTAGCTCTTTAACTGCCCTTTCTTTTACACTCCTGTTTGTTAGTTATCCCCCCTTCCCATAGATCCAGAATTTTCTATCTCATCAGATATAAATTACGAGTAATTTTGACTAAGATTTGTGATTGTTAATCCTGCGTTTCCTTTCCTCACTACCGTATTGTTAATCCTGAAGTTCAAATCCTTATTTATTTATTTCTACATATTTTAAGAATGTTATACCACTATTACTACTAATACTTCATTTCATTTGGAGCTGATGAAAGGGTATAAAGCAAAATGAGCTCATTTTATTCTGCAAATGTCTTTGTTCTTATAATATGGCTCAGTCAAAGCTACAGTAGGTAGAGAAATGAGATTTTGTAGATGTGTAACTCGTCATTTAGTAGTGAATAATTTCTAAACATCTACTCATACATCTAGACGCAAGTCTTACTATTAAATAA